CGACTTTGAATGAAAGAGATCAGGATTGAACCACAAATCGAAGAATAAAAAGATCAGGATTAAATCACGAGTCAAAGGATAACAATAATCGAGATCAAACTGTGACTTTGAATTAAAGAGATCGGGATTGAACCGCGAATCAGAGAATAAAAAGATTAAGATTAAACCATGAGTCAAAGGATAACAACAATCGAGATTAAACTGCAACTTTAAATTAAAGAGATCGAGATTGAACCGTGAATCGAAGAATAAAAAGATCATGATTAAATCGCGAGTCAAAGGATAACAACAATTGAGATTAAACTGCGACTTTGAATTAAAATGATCAAGATTGAATCGTAAATCGGAGAATAAAAAGATCAAGACTAAACCGCGAGTCAGAAAATGATGTTAACTTAGATTGAATCACAAGTAAGAAAGATAAAGTGATCGGGATTAAATCACGAGTGAGAAAGAAAAAATATAAATAAAAAATAAAAAACAACTGGGATTAAACCACGAGTCAGAGAAACTATAAAAATGATCGGCATTAAACTACAAGTCAAAGATTAAAGATGATCGAGACTAAACTGCAAGTCAGGAAAACTATAGAAATGATCGGGATTAAACCACGAGTGAGAAAAATAAAAACAACTGGGATTAAACCACGAGTCAGGAAAACTATAGAAGTGATCGGGATTAAACCATGAGTCAAAGATTAAAGATGACTGGGACTGAACCGCAAGTCAAGAAATTAATGAAATGATTGGGATTAAACCACGAGTCAAAGATTAAAGATGAATGGGACTAAATCGCAAGTCAGAAAAACTAATGAAATGATTGAGATTAAACCACGAGCTAAAGATTAAAGATGATCGGGACTGAATTGCAAGTCAAAGAATTAATGAAATGACCGAGATTAAACCACGAGTGAGAAAAATAAAAATGACTGGGATTAAACCATGAGTCAAAAAAACTATAGAGATGATCGAGATTAAATCACGAGTCAAAGATTAAAGATGACTGGGACTAAATCGTAAGCCAAAAAAACTATAAAAATAATCGGGATTAAACCACAAGCAAAGATTAAAGATGATTGAGACTAAGCCGCAAGTCAGAGAATTAATGAAATGATCGGGATTAAACCACGAGCCAAAGATTAACGATGACTGGGACTAAATCTCAAGTTAGAAAAATAAAGAATCGATCGGGAGAACACCGCGAATTGAATTTATGCCCGAAGGTCTTAAAAATCATGCCCGAAAGTCTTACAAAATCATGTCCGGAGGTCTTGCAGAATCGACTGGGATAACACCGCAAGTCAAAAAATAAAAAATCAATTGGGATAACATCGCGAATCAAAATTATGCCCAGAGGTCTTAGAAATCATGTCTGGAGATCTTACAGAATCGATTGAGATAACATCACGAGTTGAAAGATAAGTAATCAATCGGGATAACATCGTGAATCAAAATTATGCCCGGAGATCTTAAAAATCATGTCCGAAGGTCTTACAGAATCGACTTGGATAACATCACAAGTCGAAAGATAAAGAATCGATCGGGATAACATTGCAAATCAAATTTATGCTCGGAGATCTTAGAAATCATGCCTGGAGGTCTTAGAGATTATGCCTGGAGGTCTTACAGAATCATGCCCGAAGGTCTTACAGAATCGACTGAGATAACACCATAAGTCGATAGATAAAGAATCGATCAGAATAACATCGCGAATCGAAATTATGTCCGGAGGTTTTGAAAGTTATGCCCGAAGGTCTTAGAGATTATGCCCGGAGATCTTACAAATCTCAAAATTTTTGAATGCTTCTCATAATCAGAGGCAATGAAACTTTAAAATTTTAAAATTTTTTAATCTTGAAAGTCGTGCGCAGAGGCTTTTAGAGATTATGCCTGAAGGTCTTACAAATCTCAAAATCTTTGAATGCTCCTCATAATCAAAGGTAATAAAACTTTAAAATTTTGAAAATCTTTTAATCTTGAAAGTCATGCGCAAAAGCTTTTAGAGATTATGTCCAGAGGTCTTACAAATTTCAAAATCTTTGAATGCTCTTCATAATCAGAGGTAATGAACTTTAAAAATTTGAAAATTTTTTAATCTTGAAAGTCGTGCGTGCTTTTAGAGATTATGCTCGGAGGTCTTACAAATCTCAAAATCTTTGAATGCTTTTCATAATTAGAGGCAATAAAACTTTAAAAATTTAAAAATCTTTTTAAACATGGCTTTCGCCTGATCAAAGATTTTTGAGACTCTAAAGATCTTTTCTGAGGAAGGTTCCCTCTAAACGGAGGCTTTGAAATCTTGATTGAAATTGGTTCCTCTTAAACAGAGGCTTTGAAATCTTGATTGAGATTGGTTCATTTTAAATAAAGACTTTAAAACTTTAAAAACATGCCCCTTTTTTTTTTTTTTTAATACTTACAAAGTTGATAAATGTAAACATGATACAAATGTCTATTCTCATTAAATGATGCTAATGAAAATGTCAATGCAAATGTCAATGCCAATGTAAGAATGCAAATGCTTGATACATTTAACTTTTTCACAATGCAAATGACAATGTCCTTTTCATGTAGATGCCCCTACAAATACCCTTTCTTAGGATGCAGATGCCATGATGCAAATGTAAATTTTTCTTATGGTGTGAATGTAAATGTCTTATACAAATACCAATACAAGTGATGCAAATACGAATGTCTTTCTTGTGATGCGATGTAAACGATGCAAATACAAAGACTCATTTTGCCTTCTTTTTTTTAAAAAAAAATTTTGTTTAAATTTTCATTGTTTCATTTTCACCCAAAAAATGATCTCAGTATTATGTACAAAATACTCAAATAATCTCTAAAATTTTGAAAAGTGATAAAAAATTACCCCACATAAAGTATCTTTACAATTGAATGAAAAATTTTAAAACTCAAGACTTTTGAATCCCTTGAAAATTGATGATTACTATTTAGAAGGCTCATGGGTGAGGTAATTGACAATTCAATTTTTTCACTGGTGGTATATCTCATGTAAAGCTTGACGAGGGTTGCAAGGATTTTTCTTGGGCTCACAAAAGAGATATTTTTTTTAAAACACTTCTTTTATTGAAAACGTGATACTCTAATGTGAGTCAAAACTAGCCATTACTTTTCAAACAAGATTTGAAAAGAAGATAAGGCTGGCTTTTTTTTTTTTTAAAGAAAGGTCTTTAATAGGTACTAATCCTTCAAAAGGCTTTGTATCGAGACCTTCTATTTCAGATAAAACCTTGGAACTTTAAAATTCATTATGAGACCTCAAAAATGACTTTAGCTCTAAATTGTCCTTTTGGGGTTTTCACCTTAGAGCTATATTTTTTTATATCAATGAAGAATTCAACAAGTATATACAAATTCAAGGATATTGCTCTTCAATCCAAGTATCCACATTTGATCAAAATGGGTTTTTCAAGGTGTGTAATGTAGGCTGAGGTTAAGGGTTTTAAAAGAAAGGATACATAGGCTCAAAATATGTTATTCAAGGTAATTAGGCCAAGATCTTGAGGAGCATTCTCTGACTTTCTTCCTTTACTTTTTTTTTGAAACATTTGGCTTTAATTTCAGTAACTTTACTCACCCTCTTTTTTGCATTGAATTCTCATTTTCAAGGTACATATTTTCTCCTTTTTGATTTTTTTTTATTTTTTGAATTTTGATTGAAGCTTCAAATTCTTATCTCCAAAGTTTCTTTACTTTTTCTTGGAAATACCCAACTTTATCTTTAGCTGTTCACTTTCCTGAATCTTGAGATTCCAATTGAAGCTTTGTTCACTTTTTATCCCAAACTTTCACCTTTAAGGGGCAGGTTAGACACTTTCAATATCGGATACTTTTCTTGAAGTTAATCTTAAATGTATCCTAATTTTACCCCCTAACGTAAAAAATGATCCTTGCTTAGGATTTATTTTGGAACAAAAAATTTAATAGGCTCAAATGGGCAACAAATGGATAATTTTTATGTACGAAAAGGATAGAGAAATATTGTCATTCATCATTTCAAACATGATCACTTGGCTAGAAAAGCAAATCATTAAATATGTCCCTTTTGTTTTTTTTCTTTTTTTTTTTTACTTTTTTTTATTTTTTTGTTTATTTTTTTATGTTCCATCCTTTTTTTACTCAAGGTTCTAATGACGATAAAGTGATATAGGATTGATCGCATAGTTCAGAAAGGCTCTTTGGGCCCCAAAATTTTTTTGCCATTTTCTTGGTGAAAGGAAGAGAAAAGGTATAAAGGTATGAAATAAATTATCTTAGGCAGAAAGAGATTCTCTTTTTTTTTTTTTAATGTGGCTTAAGACATGGAATAAAGGTTATTTAAGAAAAAAGCTCAAGCATTTTTGTATCATGGTCATAGTAAAATTTTGACACACATTGAATTATCAATTGGAAAATTTGAAAAAATATCCAATTTTTGAAATTCAAAAAAAACTTTCAAAATTAATCTCTTTTGTTCTTTGCCCAAGAAAAAATTATCAGCCCTTTAAGGTCTGAACCCAAACTCACATTCCCTAAAAGGTTATGGTTGATGAGTCCAATCATTTAAGTGATTAGGGACATGAAAGTATTTGAAAAGGTGTAAAGGTATTTGATGAGCTTTTTCCTAATAGTAATCACCATTTCCTTTAAGAATCCTTCCATATTTATTGCAAAATAAAACTTCTTTTTCTCTTTTTTTTTTTGATTTTTTTGTTTTGTTTTTTTTTTTTTGAAATCTTGAAAGTTACTTATGTGAGACTTTTTATTCAAACAAATGCATAAAAAGAAAATTTCATGAAAAAGATCCAAAGTATTCAATTATTCTAAAATAAGTTAGATAACTTCTAGAGACACAATGCACATATCATACACATATAGTAAAAAAATTTAAAAAAAAATCATCTTATCCTGATTTTCAAAACTTAACACCTCCCTCTTCATCTTAACTTCTCATATTTAACAATTGGATGGAGTCAACAACTTTTATTGTTTCATTACCTCCGGAGTCAGAATGTCATTCTTGATAAGATCTTCAATCTTTTCTTTTAACTGTCTGTATTTTTCAGTTGAGTGGTCAATTACCCTCATATGGTAATCACACTTGCCATTGAGATCATAACTCATTACTGATAGATTTGATGTTATTTTTAGAGGCTGAGGAGTGAGATATCGACCTTCTATTAGCAAAGGCAAAAGGTGAGAAATAGGGATGGATAATTTCTCTTGATCATTTCTTGGTCTCTTTCGATTCTTTGTCAGTCAGGTAGTGGATTCAAATGTAAGAATAAGATCATGAATGACCATTTGAGGATGGAAATTTGCTTGAAAGCCCAAATGCTGGCTTGGTTGGCAAAGATATGGATTTTTAGAGATATGGCTTATGACAGGGTGATGAGGTTGATAAACAGGATAAAGATTGTACGAGATAAAACTATTAGGTAGATGCCCCTTCATTGTCACTGTTTGTACCTTTTTTTATTCTTTTCTGATGTACTTTTTTTTCAACATCTGTCACTTCTTTTAACTTAATCCTGCCATTTTTTATTGTATTTTCTATAATTTCACCAGAAATCACCATGTCCGAAAAGTTTTTAGAGACATTTCCAATCATTCTTCCTTAAAAGTTGGATGAAGGCATATTCACAACCATTATTTTTCTTTTTTACAGGCTCCTTTAGACATCCAATTATTAAAAGTGGACAGAAGCATCAATTCATAAAAATTTAGGCCAAAAAAAGTTTTCATTCATTCTCAAATGTACCAAGTTTACGTATCACGAACCATTCTAGGGTTGAGGCTAAAAAGTGCTAGACCTATTCTTACTCCCTCTTATTTCACTTAAGAAATCCAAAAATAGTTGACTCTGATTGTCGGGGAAGACAACCATTTACTTTAAAAGCTTTTTATTCATCATCTTGGCCAATCTTACTGTTACCTATAGTACTACCTGCTATCTCAGCATTGATCAGTGAAGGGTTCTCGTGAATAACTGGCTTCATCTTCGCATCAAAACTCAAATATCTAGTTTTTATCAATCCCTGCACCCTTATGTTTCAAAGTTGGGCAGTCTTTCAGAGAATGGCCCATAACACCAAAATGGTATTCACATTGGGCATTAGGGTTATACCATTTAGGGAAAGGTGGTTTACAAGGTTCGACAGGGATGGAGGCAATGAGGTAGTTTCCTAGGAGTAAATGGTATAACTCTGTGTAGATATGAGTATTGGATCAATAGGGGCTTTTCTTTTGGTGTTAACAGAGTTTTTCTGTCCTATGGTTGGTTTGCTTTGTTGAAAAGGTGCTGGTATAGTTGGTCTCAAGGTGAATTGAGAAACTTGGGTTGAAGATTGAGCTGATAAAGTGATGATTAGATAACATGTTGAACAAGCAATTGTGAAATGTGAGGTAAGAGATGTGAATTCAACTGTGAAATTTTTTAAGGTTGCATGACACTTGGAGGCTTAATTTTAGGTGCTTGGAAAGGAGATTGGAAGTAGTCATAAGGAGGATTTAAGTACGGTTAGGACTTAAGATAGTTGATGATGGTTGTTTGAAGCCAGGTGACTCCTTATTGAAAATCAAACTCTTGAGCTCAGTCATTTTAGTGGTTAGTTCACCCATTCTTCTCTTGAGTTCGCCCAAACTTTGATCACTGTTTAAATCATCCAATGCCTTAATATGCTCTGAAAAAGTGCTAGAACTAAAAGGAGTTGATTGATATTGACTTGATGGAATCGAAAGTGACAATGATCCTTAAGGAGGAACAAACTCAACTCTACCACCTCTTTTAACCATTTCTATCAATTGAGCCATTTGTCATTTCATCTCTCGAAGCTCAAGCCATAATTCCTATTGATTCAACTCCAAAGCACTAATCCTTGCTTCCAATTGATCTCCTATTTTTGCCATTCTAATTTCTACCAAGACAGACATTTTATTCCAGAACTTAGATAAAAAATTCTAGACTATTACCCTTATTGAATGAATATCACAAAAACAAAGACACACAAAGTATGTTTATGAACACATGAATATGATGGCTAAAGAATGTCATGAAATCCATATATGCCTATGACAATGGATTTTTATATGCACAAGGACCCAAATGAAAATTTTCATCAAGCATGAATGTGTATGCAAGGAATATAATTTATACTGTAGGGATTGTGGGATATGAAATGCAATGTATGTTCCATATGACCCTATTATTCATGAATCTATATGTATGAAATGTTATGACATACTTACATGAATGATGACATATATCCTATGACTAATGCAACATACTTGTATGAAATGCACGGACCTACTATATGTATGAGATATGTATGTATGAAATGCAATGCATGTGTTGTGCTGGCTTAATAAGGTAAACACTGCCTTGAGATACGTAACGAGATAAAATGCATGCACTATTTATCAAGAAGTGCATGGGATGCATGTGCATGAAGTAAAATGTATGTGCTACCTATTGATATGGATGGGATGGAATGCAAGTATTATCTTATTATGATGCGTATGGGATGAGATACATGTATTATTTATTAAAATGTATGAAATACAAAAGATGAAATAAAATACAAAATTCTTTGCTTTGAGAAAGAAAAACGAAATAAATAAGGCTTGAAAATTAGCTTTTATTCGGTCAATAAACAAAGAATTTAAGAAAAATCTTTAATCTTTGAAAATATTCTTTTACCTTTTTTCTTTTTTTTTCAATAATCGACCTAAAATAAATACCACATATTCAAATATAATGCACACAATCAAAGAATATATAAAATAAAAAATAAAAAAAAATAAAATGACTTGAGAATTTAAAACAAACAAGTAAGAGAAATAATATAACAACCATACAACAAAATAATATAACGTATAATGTCCTAATTTTTGGTAAATTTTTTAAAAAGGGGGCATGGCTCTATTCTAGGCAGGCTTCCTATGGCTCACGATATGCTGGGTTAGGATTTATATGTCTAAAGGTTCCCAGACTATTCATCACATCATCGCCTATTATAGACTAGTAAGGTTCTCCGATCCTCGCCCATTATGGGTTATTAACGGAAATGATTCAATCTGAGTGGAAGTGTTTTGCTAGCAAATACGAATGTTATCACATCACAAGAGCGTAGCTACTTCACTTCCTCCTAACCGGGAATAGAGCTTATGCATGCGAGTGAATATGCAAAGTGTATGCAAAGTAATGTATTAATCAAAATAACATGAATAAATCATAACCAAAAACAAAATCAAAATGAAGTAATAATTAACAGATAATTTATTTTATTTATTAACATGAATGTTTTTTAAAAATAAAATAAAAGAAATCAAATTAAATATCAAATAAAATTAATTAAATCTAACCATTGTCAATAGCGCATAATTAAAATTTTGGCCGACTCTCAAACAAATCCCCAGTGGAGTCGCCAAGCTATCGTAACAGTTTTGGGACCGCCAGACGTAAAAGAGTTTTAACATCGAGAAAAATAAAAGGGGAGTCACCACCAATTTTTGTTAGGGTGTGATTGGCCACCTAAAAGTTTTTCCTTTTAATAAAACTATAAAAACAGGTTTAAAGTTTATCAAAAAGATAAATTTTGATCTACAAAACATCAGGTTAGGTCCGGGAGTCGGTTACGCGTGGGGAAGGATTAGCACCCCCACAACGCCCATAAGTTGGTACCATTTAATTACACATTATTTTTGGTGTTGGATAAAAATGGTTTTAATTTAAAATTTAGCACTAATTCCCTTCAATTGAAAAAATAAAATTTTGCTAAAAATTTTTATTTAGAATTATTGAGAAAATCTTTAAGTTAAAGAATTATTTTAAAATTCTCCAACATCTAGGCAAAATTTAAAATAACTCTTTTCACTTAAGATTTAACACAATAGTCCTTAAAATGAAATAACAATCTTTATAAAAAATAATCGTTAGTGACTCTCCAACATCTAGGCAGAGTACCAAGAATTATTTCTTTTGGAATGTTATTTTTATTTTATTTTATAATATCACAAAAAAAAATTTAAAGTATTATTCTTTTTTTTATTATAAAATATTTTATCATCGAATAGTAAATTAAAGAGAGAATAATGCAAACAATTATTGATGATAAAATGTTAACGTATATATGCTAATGTATGTCATGTAAAATGAAATGCAATTTAAGAGTTGGATTCTTAAGTATAATGAGACCACCCCGACTCTTCAACATCTAGGCAGAGCTTAGGTGCGATTGTTTATATTTAAGATCCCAATTTTTTATTATACTTTTTATTTATTAATCTTATTATTAATGCGAATTAAGAAATCGTGTGAAAAGATTTAACGAAGTAAAATTTCCTAAATACCCCATCGTCTAGGTGGCATTCGAAAACAAATTGTTTCAAATGAAATTTTCACACGTGTCCTTAAGATTTTTAGGATATTTAGGATGTTTTGAGTAAGGGCTTGAGTAGAGGTTTTAAAGATTAAGGTTTCAAGATTTTGAAGATTCGAATTTTAAGGGTTTAGATTTAAGTTTTAAGGGCTTTAGGGTTTGGTTTTAAGGTATGGAAGGTTTAGGGTTTTGATTTTAGAGTTTGAAGATTTTAGGGTTTCGATTTTAAAATTTGAGGTTTGGGGTTTTGATTTAAGGGTTTGGATTTAAAAGTTTAAAGGTTTGAGATTTCGGATTTTAAGGGGTTTTTAATTTTAGGGGTTTTGGATTTTAAGGGTTTAAAGGTTTGGGATTTCAGATTTTAGGGGGTTTTGGATTTTAAGGGTTTCGAATTTTAGGGGTTTGGATTTAAGGGATTTTGGATTTAAGAGTTTCGGATTTTAGGATTTTGGATTTTAATATTTTAGATTTTAGGGGATTTTGGATTTTAGGGGTTTAGATTTAAGGAGTTTTAGAAACATAAGATTTTAAAAATTAAAAAATAGTGTTTAAGGTTTCGTTTTTAAGAAAATACGAACATTTTAAAAATCTCCAACATCTAGGTGAATTTTCGAAGCAAGTTCGATTTTAATGATTTTTGAAAATTAATTAAAATTTTTTTATATTTATTTTTTATGAAAATTCATTAATAATAATTCTCCAACATCTAGGCGGAATTATTTTTTAGAAAAACATTTTTATTCCCTCCAACATCTAGGTAGGAAAAATAATAATAATAATAAATATTTTTTTGAGCATTTTTAATCTATATTTTTAATTATTACTTGTTTTTAATTTTATTATTATTAAAACAATTAAACATTTATTCTAACAAATTTAGAAATTTATCATGCAAAATGATATTCAAATACAAAAATAATATTAAAAAATTTTGGAAATTTTTTTACCTGAACCGGACTGTCAACTCATCACTTGCTAGACTGGTTGGATCGTTTCGACTTTTAATCAGCTTTCGATGATCCAGTTGTTTACTGTTCAGTCCGGTTCAAATTGGTTCAATTGAACCGATCAACAGCGGTTGAAAGAGCAGGTCCACGGGTCAGGTTGCGTGGATCCCGAGTCAGATCCAGGTCAACGCGCGGATCCTCTTGGCCTAAAACGACGTCGTTTTGCTCCTTTATCTTTTATATATAACTGAAAAAAAATTTTTGTTCATTCTTGTCTTGTTTCAAAAAAAAAAAATGGGGGAGAGCTCCAGAGCTCTCTCACCGTCTGATCGTCGGACTGTCGTGTCGACCGCTATCTGAGTCACCATCGACGGTCACTGGTGATCGAAAAATACCAAAATGCTCCCAGAAGCACTGCTCAATGCGTTTTTCCTATATTTGACCTTCTTTTTATCGAAAACAGCCCCGATCAGCGTAGATCGGGGCTCAAAGTTTCTGTTTCCCCTTTTTTCTCTTTTTTGTTTTGTTTTGTTTTGTTTTATTGAAACAAGACTGACGAGATTTTTTTTTTTTTGCTTTCGCAGGTAGCTTTGGCGTTGGGTTCGTCCCTGCGGGGAGGACTGTTTGTCTTTATTTTTTGTTTCTACTTTTGCGTTTCTGTTTGGGTATGGG